TAGATGTTTGTATATATATGTGTATGTTTTTTATTTTGTATATATATTTATATTTTTATTTGTATATAGATATGAATATATATGTATATTTTTTTTGCTGTTTATTTATTTTATTTTAAATTTTAAAAAAAATCGATTTTTTTTCATATTTTTTCGGAATTTTTTTTAAAAATATGACGTGGTATGCTGATGTGGCAAAAAAATCTATATTGTATGTATGTATGTATGTATGTATATGCATATGTATATATACATATATATGTGTTTATATATATATATGTATATATAAATATATTTGTTTGTATGTATATGTATATATATATATTTGTATAGATGTTTGTATATATATGTGTATGTTTTTTATTTTGTATATATATTTATATTTTTATTTGTATATAGATATGAATATATATGTATATTTTTTTTGCTGTTTATTTATTTTATTTTAAATTTTAAAAAAAATCGATTTTTTTTCATATTTTTTCGGAATTTTTTTTTAAAAATATGACGTGGTATGCTGATGTGGCAAAAAATCTATGTGGCGTGCCACGTCAGCCGCCACGTGGTGTGCTACGTCAGTGGTTAACGGACACTTAACACCGTTTACTTTGGCTTTAATGTCGATGACATCAATATTTTTTTAATACATTTGTACAAAATAAAATTCTTATTTTAAATTGATAACTCATGATTTTATAGCTTTTATAGAATTATTAAGATTATTAAGATTTAGTTCGCGTAGCTCAGAAAATTATTATATAAATTATACTATATATAAAATAAGTATATGAATTTTTTTAATCTTAAAAAACATATTTTCTGAACACACCCAAATTCACAAATATTCAAAGAAATACCACATAAAATACTATCCGTTAAACATGTATATACACATATATGTGTGTGCACATTTGTGTATAAACCATGTATATGTATATAAACATGTATTTGTATATGTATGTGTATGTATATATGTGCATGTTTTTCAGTTTTTCTATATTTTTTAATGATATAGTGATTGAAGTAGTAACATCATCAATTCTCCTAGATACCACCACGTAATTTTCAATCGTTGAATTCTTTTTAGCACGTTAACATTGTTAAATGCGATCATATTAGTTGGTAATAAATGTATTTAATGTTGGTAATAAATGTATTTATTTAACATAATTTACATATATTTATAGGCGTTTTCCCTTTAGCTTGCTTACTACACAAATCGAACTAAATGAATAAACAGAGAATTTTTATATAGATATTGGCAAAACTATTTTTTATAAGAACAAAATATATAAAACATATATTTAAAAAGAAGAAAATATATCATTAGTATCCTATAATCATTATTTTTCTAGTTTCCAATAGACAATATAGATCCACACAAAAGTTATTGCCATCTCACATATGATAATATATATATATAAGCAAATGAAGTTAAGCAGGGAGCTTGAAGTGATGAATCTGAATGTTGTCAAGCTGTAGTTTCCGGAAGTCGCTTCGGTTGCGGGAGACGTAGAATTTGCCCCATTTGTAGCCTTTGTACTTTGGAGGGCTTTGGTGGCTCGAGAGCTCTTCCAATGGCTTCACCTCCACGTCATGAGAAGGCATCATGAAGAATGGTATTGAGAATCTCTCCTTTGTCGAATTCACCACCACCCTATGCTCTGCGCTCCAATACTTGTCGTTTGTCCACACCTACAATCATAAAATTCGTTACATCCAAGAATTCATAGATTATTTTTTAAAAAAAAACATAAAATTCGTCACATATGATAATATATATATATAATATAAACAATTGAATTATTTCACAATTATATCAATATATGGATAGAGGATGCCGTAAGGTGCGGTTTTTGCCTCTGTGTTTCATGAACTTGCGGATCATAAAAAAAAAATATTTTTTTAGATTTAAATAATTAGAGTTCGATTTAATCCGTTAGGAATCAAAACCGATATTAAAAAAAACCAGGTTTTAAGAGAAAGATTTTACCTCCATACAATTACCAATGTTGATGACAAGGGCATGAGGGATAGGTCTAATGTTGAACCAAACCCCATCCGATCTACGACTCACTTGTAATCCTCCGACTTGGTCTTGAGCCAATATGCTCAGTACGTCCGCGTCTTTGTGGCGGCCGACGCCTAAGGCGAGATCGGGCCGAGGACACGGCGGATATCTATTTATCCTTAGAAAGCTCATTTGTTTCTCAAAATAACCGTTGAAACGTTCTTGAGTTAGGCCTAAGCTTAAGGAGATGAGTTCAAGAAGCTTAAATTCTAGTTTCTCTGCATGCCTTGCATATTCCTCACATGCCCCCCTGATTTTTTTTTTCCAAAAAAAAAACTTATAATCTACTATGATTTATTCTAATATTGATTTATTGTTCATTCAATTTAATACCATATAACTTTCTTAACCAAGATAAAACACAGGAAATATTGTAAGATCCAAAAAAATAGAAGTCTGCTATATATATATATATAAATTATATATTTATTCAGAAAATTTTGATAATCTAATAAATATTTATGGAATTTTCCTTTAAAACTAAAAACTAATATAAAGAAACCATATGAAGCTCCGATAATAATTGAAAATTAGAAAAAAAATTGGTTATTAAATTACTTTATATATGTAGATTGATAATATGATTTTTTTACAAAAAAAAATTAAATTGGATAACTATCAGAAAATTAATTCTAAAATAATTTAAGTATCTCAGACCCGTTCCATGTTTATTCGCTACAAACTTGTCTTAAATAAAAGATAGCCACCAAATAACATATGATACAGATTTTTTTATGATAATAGATGCAGGCAAAAAATTATCCAATTTCATAAAGATTACTATATATCAAAGATTAGTATTTCACCAAATTAAATAAAATACTGTGACTTTGCCTGAATTCAGAAGGTTGCTGAGGCCACTTGTTGTACACAACTCTCAAGCCTTCATCCTCAGGATCGGGGGAAGCCGGAAGAACCATCTCGTTATTCAAATACACATCGAACACCTCCTTCCAATCTCTCACGTTCTTCGTGTGTTCGCCGTCGTGATACCCCACCGGATTCACTTCGTCTCGTTTGATTTTCATCTATTAGGAAAAATACAAGTTTAGTGTGTACATATACATACATATATATGTATATATGTTACCTTCTCCTCCATCCCCATGTCAAAAAATGCCCTAGCTACGCTCTCCACGCGTTGCCTTGCCTCGCAGGGGATACCGTGGTTGATCACTTGGAAAAATCCCCATTTCTCGCAGGCCTTACCGATCTCCGAGACGACGTTTTTGGCATCCTCGGGGTCCTCGAGGCGAGAGAGATCGATCACGGGTATTTCCTCGGGTTCTTCGGGTGTGAAATTTGAGCCTGCTCTGTGTTCTGGTGCTTGGATGAAGGCTTCACCGAAAACTTCCATTGTTATGGCGGCTTTGTGATGAGGAACAAAGTTGCTCCAAAGTTGAATGGGTAAAGGGGAATGTTGGTGTGATGATAGATAAACATAGATAAGCACAATGTATGTAAAATTATTTTTGTCTTTATTATTAAAAATAAAAATATGCCAACTTGACTGTGGATGTCTTTATTAGTGACAGAAAAGATGCCATTTTGTAAAGGGAATAGTTTTCCGTGTGTATTAGATTTATAATAAAATCATTAATCCATATAATTTCCGATTACTTCTACATATAATTTTTGGGATACTTAAATGTAATTCTTTGTAGTTTCAGTGCGGATTAGATTATAACAGTGTTGTTTTAAAAATAGAAAATATGATATAAATATCTAAACTTTTATGAAAATTCCATATAAATATTTGAACTATAAAAGTTTCATACAAATACTTGAATTTTTAAAAATTCTATATAAATACCTAAATTTTTAATTTTTTTTTCTAATAACGTATTTTAGATTTATTTGGGAGTTTTTCTAAAGTCTATGTATTTATATAGAATTTTAGAAAAATTTAGATATTTATATGGAACTTTTATAATTCAGATATTTATGTGAGATTTTTATAAAAGTAAAAATATTTATATGCTATTTTTTCTTTTTAAAACCTTCGGTAGGAAAAAATATAGGAAAAATAGCTTGGAAAAAAAAAAGAAAAAATATGAACACAAATCATAAACAAATATAAAATTGTGAAATATCTCTAGGCACGGATCAATATTTTTTAAAAAATAATTTTTTTTATACAAAGTTGTTTCATATTTTGCAAAGTATATATATAGGATAAATAAGGTTGAATGAATATATATATATTTCAAAATAATAATTTAAAAATACTAAAAAAAATTAAAATATAACAGAATGTTCATGTCTAAACAAAACAATTTAGATCTATCTCCTCCTATATATTAGTGTACATTTTTTTTTATCATGAGAGCGTATTGATTGTGGCAATCTAGACAAGTGGATGATCAAGTGATAAAACTTAGACTAAACCGATTCCGCAAGGGTACAGATTCGATGTAGTACCATTGTCGAACACAAGTAGCAAGAGGTGATGGAGTCGATCGTAATTCTAGTTATGGCGAAAGTCGTTTGCAGATCGATTGGTTGGTTGGTTGAAAACTCAATAACTAAAGACATTGCAGGTTCGGAGGTTCACCGATGATATGGATTATTTCTAAAGATCTAGATTGAATTGCAGTTTTGGTAGATTCGAAAATTCTAGCTCATAAACTAGAACGTGTCCGAGTCAGGGATCATTGCTCTCTAACTAATGTTTTCTTATCAGCTTCCGCATCTCTAGATCCACATTAGAAGTATTAACGCTCGTTATCATTGTTCTTAGGTCAAATTAAGAATTCTTTATCAAGTCCCTCATATGCGTTCAAAATTAATAATTGAACTTATCTTTTGAACGAATTCCGGTTTAACTAATCCAAATCTCTTTGAAATTAATTAAACTAAGTTCAATTCATACAGGTGATCAATCTGATGAAAATAATAAGATCAATTCATAAAACCGGATCTAAACAAAACATGCAATAATTATATTAAGAACATAAATCAATCCATAACATGACTAGAATCCCTCTACAACAAATAAAATACTCCCGATCCATAGGAAAAGATGAAACTACAACAGATTCATACACTATTTTAGAAGACATAGAGAAATGAGACTTATAGAATGTAGAATCAATCTCTAAACTCCGAAATATAGCAATCCTATAGCTCCAAATACTTTCAAAAAGTTGAAGAATGAAGAACAGTCCAAATATATTGTGAAACTTGAAAATGTGCGAACTGTATCTCGGTTTCCGTATATTTCTTTTTATAGAACTCTCGAAATATCGATGTTGGAAACATCGATATCGATGCTGTCCAACATCGATATTCTCCCAAAGTGTAGCGATCTCTATGTATTGGAATGTCGATATCGACATTGTGGAAGGTCGATATCGGGAGTACCCAGATCTCGAGGTATGGAAATATTGACATCGATGTTGCGGAACATCTAGATCGAAAATTTGAAGTCTGATCTCGAGGTGGTTTGAAACGTCGATGTCGTTGTTGAGGAACGTCGATATCGAGACTGTATAACGTCGATGTTCTCAACATCGAGATTCTTCCTATTATGCTCTGAAGTTCGTTTTTCGTTCGTGACAAGTCCACAAACTTTTTTAACTTGTCCGTGATCGTCTATTTGATCTATTTTAGCTCCGAAAACACTTTTTTAGTTTCGTTTTTGTCCATGTACGCAAATATTTCTGAAATAACATCAAAGAACAAATAAAAATAGTATTCTGCCAAAAATGCAGTCTAAATACTAAATATGTACGGAAAAAGAGATGAAATGCACCTAAAACATAGGAAAATAACGTCAAAAACCGATGTAATCACGTATTTATGGTAGGGATGCAAAACAGATGGTTAGTCAGGCTCTTGCCACCCGTTTTTCACGAGTTAAAAAATCTCTGATTTCGTACCATATTGCTTTAACTCTCGAATAGAATAAAATAACAAAAATAAAAATTTAAAAATATTAAAATAATATTAAAAATGTTAAAAATAATAAAAACATTTTTTTTAAATAAAAAAACTCTTACTCCAAACCCTTTTTTTCGAATCATATTTTTCAACCCTTCTATATCCCTAATTTATGGATTGAAACATGAGATAATTCACAATTGGATACGAGTCAGATTTGGTATCTTTTATATTATATATTATATGTTCGAAAGATGACTCTGAACTCACGTTGGAAGACTTTAGAAGATCACACTGAGGTGAGAGATGACGTATACATAACGAATTACTGTACACTTTGTTTTCACCATTATGGGCCTTACTAACATCGTCGGCTCTGTCGATCCAATATGTATGTGTGATAAATGTGTATAACCAAAGTCCTAAAGATGTGATAAAACAAATTCATCGATATTCATGGAGAAAAACAACGTCGCTCTTTTTTTTGTTGAATGTTAAATATATTTACCAAAAGAATAGTTTACAATCAGTCTGCGATTGAATACAAAAACAGTGGAATCCCATGTATAAATGGATGCGGTCCAAAAACCAAAGGCAACGTGCCATGTCTTCCTAAGGTGGAATGTCAGGAGCTAAGTAGTATCAGTTTTGTAGTTCTTGGTTCCCAGCTATCGGATCAGGTTGCTTGATCGAGAAGAGTAGATCCCGCATCGTGCGGTCTAGTTTGAGTCGGATATCACGTAACGTTCGGGAGCAGTTGCGGAAGGTTTTGTTGTTTCGCTCTCTCCAAATTTCATAAGTGACAATCTGCACTGTTAACTTAGCGAACTTGGTACGACTCCTACTTCTGTCGTTTCCTCCTCTCCCTATCCAGTCTGAGCAGAGAAGAAGATCGCTCGGTGGGCAATTCCAGCATCGGTTGGCGAAGAAATCCCATAGACCTGCACTGAAGGTGTAGCAAAAAAATAGGTGTTGGTACGTTTCATCCTCTTGATTGCAAAGCTGACAGATTCTATCTACTGGTATTTCCCAGCTAATGAGAAGCAGGCGACGCAATAGGGCTTGCCATAGTATGATGGCTAACCGATGAACCAAATGCTTGAACCATACCAAGGGAGCCCATGTGACCTTGGGCTTTGGCTGTCGGACTTGTTCCTGTAAACTTTCTACAAATGAAACTCTCAAACATAATTCTCTGCAATAAGAAACAAAGATAAAAAACTTTCTGTATAGATTAACACACACCTTTATTACAACATAACACAAATATACACACAACAGATACGTATGCACAATACTCTACTCAGTTTCTTCTCAACACTTGTTGCTTTGAAACTGACTCACATATTGCAGAAACTAAACCACCTATTAGACAACACTCTGTCCCAGGAATAATTATCGATGGCCATAGTACAGAAAAATCCTATCTTGGAAATTACTCTTCGTCTTCATCCTTGCTCATCTATGGCGATACTTTGTTTCTCTCTCGCCTGATATGGTATCGGAGCTGGTGTAGCTCATTTTTTTTTACCATCTTGTGTTTTTTGTTTTCCCAGTTTCTTCCATCATGGAGACGCCTGACCCTGCATCTGTCGGTCAACACTCTTCTTTTGTTCCTGGTTCCACCATTTTAACCCCTTCAGCCGTTCCTATGGACTGCTACAGTAACCCATATTTTCTAGGTCCCAACGATCAGGCTAATCTGCAACTGGTGTCTGAACGTCTTACCAGCGCCACCAATTTCTCCACTTGGTGTCGGTCTATCACCATGGCTCTTCAAGGACGGAACAAGATCAAATTTGTTGACGGAACGCTTCCTCGCCCTTCTGATGATCACCAGGATGCTCTGCTCTGGTTCCGAAACAATGTTATTGTTTCTTCGTGGCTCATTCACTCTGTTTCACCGACCATTGCCCCAAACCTTCTCTATTTTGACACTGCTAGGGCTATTTGGCTCAACCTCATCAAGCGCTTTGAACAGTCGAACACCCCTCGGCTGTATTCCATCAAGCAACGTCTCCATGGTCTTCGCCAAGGGTCCATGGATGTCTCAACCTTCTACACTCAGATGCTTACCATTTGGGAGGAACTCAAGTCCATTAAACCCACACCCCATTGCAAATGTGGAAAATGCATCTGCAACGTTTCCCAGGAGTGGAATGAGGAAAACGAAAAGGATTTTTTCATTGAATTTCTTTTCGGCCTCAATGATTCTTATGATGCCATTAGGAGCCAGATTGTGATGCTCGATCCTCTCCTAGATCTAGATAAGACATTTCACTTGATCACACAAGTCTTATCAAGAACTCTTTCTCCACCGAGGTTCCGGTCTTCAACATCTCCACTCCTGATCTCCGAGATCATCCAATTGCTGCTTTCTAAGGGGGGACTTTCAAAGGAAAATCTAAGCCTCTCTGCACTCACTATGGCCATACCTAGCAGAAGTGTTACCGTCTGCACGATTTTCCACCGGGTTATCGGACTTCTTCATCGGCATCTTCTCAACCACCGTCTCATTCCAGGATGTCTTTGGGAGCTCCAC